TGACCACGTCCCAAACCATTCCCCAGGCCTTCATTTGGAAAATTTGGTAGCCTCTATGCGTCGTCGATGCACTGCTGTGCTTCACGCGCATGATGGTCATACCCGTTATTGACTTTGTGACTTCGACTCAATTTTGAACTTCTGACGTCATCGTTACGGATATTGTTCATGTTCTTTTGACATGTTGTTGTGGTCCGATACTTCAGCTTATAAAGTGTCTACGTCATGCCGTCTTTTCTGTGTTGTATTCTAATTCTGAAGGAATTTCCTGTGTGCACAGTTTCTTTATGTGGCTAGTATATTTGAATGTCAGGATCGGAGACGCCTCTGAAAGAGCTATTGGGTGCATGTCACATCTTTAGAGGAGAGCGTAGTAGCAAACCCTATTGATTCTGTTTAGTTTTGTGGAGTGACAGACAAGATGATCTCCTAGACAACCAGCGGTGAGTACTTTAAACATTAGAGGACAAAAGCTTCGACTTTTCCCATATAAGTCCATCATTCCTCCACCACCGAGGCGAGGAGAAAGCTATTTTTTTTCGTGTAGGTCCAGTGGGTTGCAAAGCTTTATATCTAGATAGTATTGAGGGTTTGCTCAACCTTTTCATGTGTAAGCCTGTTTATAATGGTAGCTATGCAGTTGTCATCGGCAACAGGCCGATATGCAACTGACAACAAAATCCAAACTATTAAACACCACATTGCCAGTCTCGCAACATGTGCAACGCCTCGTGCTGTGAAGGTACATGCACAGCGCGCCTTGACGGTACCAAAGAAGGCCCACAATCTGGTGGTAAGATACTCTTGACAGACAATTTGTTAGACGTCTTGAAGGTCGCTCAGGATGAACCAGTAGCCCAGGAGCTGGGAGGAAACACGCGGTCGATGTACCGCCCAATCCAGGTGAAGTGGCTGATGGAGCTGGGAGGGAGCAAGGAGTCAATGCACTGTCCAATCCAGGTGAAGTGACTGATGGCACTGGGACGAAACAAGGAGTCGATGCACTGCCCAATCCAGGTGAAGTGACTGATGGTACTGGGACGAAACAAGGAGTCGATGCACTGCCCAATCCAGGTGAAGTGACTGATGGTACTGGGAGGAAACAAAGAGTCGATGCACCGCCCAATCCAGGTGAAGTGACTGATGGAGCTGGGAGGAAACAAGGAGTCGATGCACTGCCCAATCCAGGTGAAGTGACTGATGGTACTGGGAGGAAACAAGGGGTCGATGCACTGCCCAATCCAGGTGAAGTGACTGATGGTACTGGGACGAAACAAGGAGTCGATGCACTGCCCAATCCAGGTGAAGTGACTGAAGTGACTGATGGTACTGGGAGGAAACAAAACAAGAGTCGATGCACTGCCCAATCCAGGTGAAGTGACTGATGGTACTGGGAGGAAACAAGGAGTCGATGCACTGCCCAATCCAGGTGAAGTGACTGATGGTACTGGGAGGAAACAAGGGGTCGATGCACTGCCCAATCCAGGTGAAGTGACTGATGGTACTGGGACGAAACAAGGAGTCGATGCACTGCCCCATCCAGGTGAAGTGACTGATGGTACTGGGAGGAAACAAGGAGTCGATGCACCGCCCAATCCAGGTGAAGTGACTGATGGAGCTGGGAGGAAACAAGGGGTCGATGCACTGCCCAATCCAGGTGGAGTGACTGATGGTACTGGGACGAAACAAGGAGTCGATGCACTGCCCAATCCAGGTGAAGTGACTGATGGTACTGGGACGAAACAAGGAGTCGATGCACTGCCCAATCCAGGTGAAGTGACTGATGGTACTGGGACGAAACAAGGAGTCGATGCACTGCCCAATCCAGGTGAAGTGACTGATGGTACTGGGAGGAAACAAGGAGTCGATGCACTGCCCAATCCAGGTGAAGTGACTTATGGAGCTGGGAGGAAACAAGGAAACGATGCACTGCTCAATCCAGGTGAAGTGACTGATGGAGCTGGGAAGAAACAAGGAGTCGATGCACTGCCCAATCCAGGTGAAGTGACTGATGGAGCTGGGAGGAAACAAGGAAACGATGCACTGCTCAATCCAGGTGAAGTGACTGATGGAGCTGGGAAGAAACAAGGAGTCGATGCACTGCCCAATCCAGGTGAAGTGACTGATGGAGCTGGGAGGAAACAAGGAGACGATGCACTGCTCAATCCAGGTGAAGTGACTGATGGAGCTGGGAAGAAACAAGGAGTCGATGCACTGCCCAATCCAGGTGAAGTGACTGATGGAGCTGGGAGGAAACAAGGAGTCGATGCACTGCCCCATCCAGGTGAAGTGACTGATGGTACTGGGAGGAAACAAGGAGTCGATGCACTGCCCAATCCAGGTGAAGTGACTGATGGAGCTGGGAGGAAACAAGGAGTCGATGCACTGTTCAATCCAGGTGAAGTGACTGATGGTACTGGGAGGAAAAAAGGAGTCGATGCACTGCCCAATCCAGGTGAAGTGACTGATGGAGCTGGGACGAAACAAGGAGTCGATGCACTGCCCAATCCAGATGAAGTGACTGATGGAGCTGGGAGGAAACAAGGAGTCGATGCACTGCCCAATCCAGGTGTAGTGACTGATGGAGCTGGGAGGAAACAAGGAGTCGATGCACTGCCCAATCCAGGTGAAGTGACTGATGGAGCTGGGAGGAAACAAGGAGTCGATGCACTGCCCAATCCAGGTGAAGTGACTGATGGAGCTGGGAGGAAACAAGGAGTCGATGCACTGTTCAATCCAGGTGAAGTGACTGATGGTACTGGGAGGAAAAAGGAGTCGATGCACTGCCCAATCCAGGTGAAGTGACTGATGGAGCTGGGACGAAACAAACAGGAGTCGATGCACTGCCCAATCCAGATGAAGTGACTGATGGAGCTGGGAGGAAACAAGGAGTCGATGCACTGCCCAATCCAGGTGTAGTGACTGATGGAGCTGGGAGGAAACAAGGAGTCGATGCACTGCCCAATCCAGGTGAAGTGACTGATGGAGCTGGGAGGAAACAAGGAGTCGATGCATTGCCCAATCCAGGTGAAGTGACTGATGGTACTGGGACGAAACAAGGAGTCGATGCACTGCCCAATCCAGGTGAAGTGACTGATGGTACTGGGAGGAAACAAGGAGTCGATGCACCGCCCAATCCAGGTGAAGTGGCTGATGAAGCTGGGGGGGAAACCAGGAGTCGATGCACTGCCCAATCCAGGTGAAGTGACTGATGGTACTGGGAGGAAGCAAAGTGTCGATGCACTGCCCAATCCAGGTGAAGTGGCTGATGGAGCTGGGAGGAAACAAGGAGTCGATGCACTGCCCAATCCAGATGGAGTGACTGATGGTACTGGGAGGAAGCAAAGTGTCGATGCACTGCCCAATCCAGGTGAAGTGACTTATGGAGCTGGGAGGGAGCAAGGAGTCAATGCACTGCCCAATCCAGGTGGAGTGACTGATGGAGCTGGGAGGGAGCAAGGAGTCGATGCACTGCCCAATCCAGGTGAAGTGACTGATGGTACTGGGAGGAAACAAGGAGTCGATGCACTGCCCAATCCAGGTGAAGTGACTGATGGTACTGGGACGAAACAAGGAGTCGATGCACTGCCCAATCCAGGTGAAGTGGCTGATGGAGCTGGGAGGGAGCAAGGAGTCGATGCACTGCCCAATCCAGGTGAAGTGGCTGATGGAGCTGGGAGGGAGCAAGGAGTCGATGCACTGCCCAATCCAGGTGAAGTGGCTGATGGAGCTGGGAGGAAACAAGGAGTCGATGCACTGCCCAATCCAGGTGAAGTGACTGATGGTACTGGGAGGGAGCAAGGAGTCGATGCACTGCCCAATCCAGGTGCAGTGACTGATGGTGCTGGGGAGGGGGCGTTTGGGACCAGGAGTCGATCCACTGCCCAATCCAGGTGAAGTGACTGATGAAGCTGGGGAAACCCCGTTTGTGTCTACTCCTAGTGTCACGATGGGTTGCAACGTGTGGAATCACGTGTCAGTCCCTTCAAACAAATTTCCTGTCTGTTGTGGCTTCCAAGAAACATCAGTTGCGGCTTCCAAGAAACATCGATGTTCCAAAAAAATTAGTTGGCTGACTGAATACTGGCATACTGAGACCGGATCACAATCAAGGAAGCTTTAATGTAAGTTTTTGACCAATCCAACGATGTCCACTTTCCTTTCTACAGATAGCCAAATTATAGTTCAAACTACAGTCCAAACTATACTCCGAACTATCGTCTGTTGCTGATAAGCGATATTGATTTTGCTCCAGCGTTGTCATTTTTCTGTTATAAGGTATAGTTTTGTGTTGTGAAGAATTATATCCGTTATAGTTATATCATTTACTAAGGATGTAGCCTCTGGGTACTGTTTATCGTTCCCATGGCCTGGTGTGTAACTACTTCGTGACAGATTAAACATTCCATGAAAACGTATCATTGTCTTTCCATTAAGTCATAGACGCCATCTGGTCTCCTTAGATCATACATTTTAATTCAAAACATGTAATTGGGTCATTATGACAAGACAAGTTGACTATCATTGATACTGTTATAGAATCTATTTGAAATTATGCCTGAGATTATTTAGGATTTCTTGGGATATACATGTGACTTGGATGTATAACATCAGTGTTTGTCATCAGTTTTATCTGTTGTGACATATATTGTCCTGAGAGGGAAGTACTGGAATTGTGTCTCGATGGTCTGATATGCGGCTGTTCTTGATACTGCCATTGTGATTCTTTGGCAATGTTTGTATTCGTTGGTAAACATACTAAACTTAGAATGTAAGTATTTTTTGTGTATTTTTCTTTGTTGTTTGTTGGTTTCATGTCGAATTTTTGACGGACAGATCTCTAGATACTAGTAACTTATTGTTTCCACTTGGAATCAACACGTACCAAAAATGGGGTCTCGACCGAAGTTAGACAAGCAAAGGCAAAAAGTTAAAAGACGTATTTGTTTTTTTCTTCAAATTAAATATGAAAGGTTATCATCATCAAGTAAGACTTTTTCTATATTGACAAAAAAGCATACTTTATTTATTGTCTTTAAATCTTCAACTAAACATGTACTTTATTTGACACCGATAGTCAGGTAGGTCTCCATGCAGGCACGGAGTTGGTTAGTGTGCTTGTCGTTCATTGTGATCTTCACGTGGTACTCGCCCTGGAAACAAACGGTGAAAATAAAACGGTGAATATAGGTGTATATATATATGCAATGAAGTTCCAAGTGCGGAAGATAGACAGATCTTAAATATCTAAGACTTTGCATTTTAAATCAACATAACTGATCCTCAGAAGCATATTCTTTTACGAAATATATTTCGAAATAAGATTGCATAATTTGGTCTCTACTTACGTTGGCCAAGAACTTCCATGCATCACTGATGTTGGTGACGGTGAACTTGGACGGAGGCATGTGGAGCTTGTCGGGGCTGAAGGGGCAGGTGCAGGGCAGGCCGTTAGCCGTCAGCTGGGGAGGGCAGGTGCCCTGATTCTCGAAGACTTTCAGGAAATGGCAGGGGTCAGTATAGTGGCTGTGGGAAAAATCAATATATCTCAGGTTGTTGAAATGTGAAACGTACATCAGTTTGTTTGCAACAACGGGGAAAAGTATCCCTACTTTACATAATGTGGTGTACACGTTATGTGATTGATAATCTCAACGTGAGAGATGGTCATCCGTCTGATCAATGTTATATCATAACACATTCTTCAAGAAAACCCATACATCGGAGAGGTATGCCCTACTAGCGACCAGGTGTAACCAATGTGTACACGATGTGTGAACACCATTTTCCTTCACACCGAGGAGATCATTCCAAATGTTGGCAGTTAGCCTTATCGACTGGTTCTGCTCCTGCTGTTGAAGACACCAGATGATTGTGAATACCCCGTGTGATATCATTACAAATGTTGGCAGTTAGCCTTATCGACTGGTTCTGCTCCTGCTGACTGACTGACTGACTGACTGAGTTTGGTTTTACGCCGTTTTTAGCAATATTCCAGCAACATCACGGCGGGGGACACCAGAAATGGGCTTCACATATTGTACCCATGTGGGGATTCGAACCCGGGTCTTCGGCGTGACGAGCCAACGCTTTAACCACTAGGCTACCAACCCCCACACCCCGCCCCTTCCGCTGCTGCTATTGAAGACGCCAGATGATTGTGAACACCCCGGGTGATATCATTCCAAATGTTGGCAGTTAGCCTTATCGACTGGTTCTGCTCCTGCTGTTGAAGACACCAGATGATTGTGAACACCCCGTGTGATATCATTCCAAATGTTGGCAGTTAGCCTTATCGACTGGTTCTGCTCCTGCTGTTGAAGACACCAGATGATTGTGAACACCCCGGGTGATATCATTCCAAATGTTGGCAGTAAGCCTTATCGACTGGTTCTGCTCCTGCTGTTGAAGACACCAGATGATTGTGAACACCCCGTGTGATATCATTCCAAATGTTGGCAGTTAGCCTTATCGACTGGTTCTGCTCCTGTCGTAGGCGTTTCTCCAACTAATCCGAGCTAACTGTTCATTATCTTATCGTCCGAGCGATTGATATGGTAGTTTGGCATCGATTCTTGTGCGACCGAAATGGGACAATCGCAGCTAACCATTGGTTCCCCTGCGGAAAAAATTCTCCAAAGAGATATTGCTGTTGATGTATGATATTGTTTTTGATGTATGAAATATCTGGCAACTTCATTTTGTCCTATTCCTGTTTGCAGCATATTTACACAGAGCCGTGTCATCACGTTATTCAGAGCGTTAACAATAGAGTGTTCATGAGCTTCGGAGAGATATATAACCACTGTGAATTGTTCACAAGACCTCCGTGTGTGAGTATCAGGCTTCAAACAGACACACAAACATCCACCTTTCCTTTGTAGCTGTTAGGATGTAGGATGAGGAGTTCAAGGAGGGAGAACAGAACCCTGAAGCTGGTCCAAGATCAGGAAGTGCTTATATTGCCAACGCAAAGGAACATTCTGATATGATTGCACCACAATAGAGACCGAATCTCCCGTGAGAGAACATTCGGAGTTCTGATCTGGGCGTGACAATTCTGACGATTCTCAAAATTCACAATCTCTAGTGAGAACTTGAGGCGTTAGAAGCAGACCCTGGTGGTGGTGTTCGCTCAGATCAGTTAAAATGCACAATAGCTCCTTCCGGAAGTCTGTCCGATACGCTGACAAGTTGATGACGTCTGCTTCCTGGGACTCCGCAGACTCCTGCTGACGGACTACACGACCTTGAATAGCCAATATTGTGGTAATCAGCTTGCGAATCAGCGTGAGGATATCAAGACCAATCGTCGCGTAAGCTTACACATCACACACCATGTGCCAACACCAAGCTTATTCGTCACTTACCATGTGCCAACATCATTCTTGCAAGGGACCTTGGTGAACCTCCCGAGAAGCGACTTCTCAAAGAGAACGTCCAGTGAGACCTGGTCAGCGAGATTGTGTGTGATTGCTCCTTCGAGGGATACCGTCATATCTCCGGGAATCACAATGGGGCTGGGGTTGATGTTGAACTGCTTCACGGAGATCCAGGTATCGCCAACACCTGGCACAAAATGTAACCCTCTGTTCATATTTATTCACAAATAACTTAAAGTACATATTTTGGGCAGGTACCATGCCGCTGGTCAGATTGAGACAAACCACATTATATATAGAGGCGTGCCAAACAACATCAGATAGACTCGGATATGCCAATATAACCCATATGTCATATAGAAGCGTGCTTTACATTGAATAGATTCACATCTCAGTAGATTTAGACAAACCACATTGATTATAGAGGCGTGCCTTACAACATCAGACATAAAAAGATATGCCCATATAACTACAGATTTACATTTCTCCAGGCGTGTCTGACAGCATTGTGAAGTGATTAATCCACAAATTCCTTCAATATTGTGGGCAAAGTTACATGTATGTCCAACGATACAATCATTATCTTTCATCTGGATGATATTTCAACTGATTCTGACTTACATTATTACACGGTTGTTATAACTGATGTGTCCTCTGTGTCAGTAACATCATGTATGTTTGTAAACATAATTATGGTGGACGTTGATGAGATCTTTATCACTGGTTGCTAACCACCCCAAAGATGTTGGCTTGAACGTCCTTACAAAACCCCTTTAATACAGATCACAGTAAATCAGCTTGGTGCTGGGTAGAAGTCAGAAGGTAGGCAGTATTCTGCGTTTACGATTTGGGCTAACCCTCCGAAATAATAAATTGCCGAGAAACCTGGGGTCGTATTTTGGGGGAATCTTGGAAACGAACCTGAGACCAGGTATGTGTTCCATGTACTTAATGGTGATATTCCACCCTACAATAGTACCTCCCTCAGTATACATACCACAGTCCCTCCATTCCAGTGTGCCAGTGGAGTGGAATCCTGGGCGAGCCCCTAGGGCAGGAACGATGAGAGCTATAACCAACAACAGCATGGTGAACCTTAGGCTGACCGAGCAGAGTCCGATACTGATTGGCAACCTCTATATAACCTCCGATAGCGAGGGCAGGTCACGTGACTATAGGAACGGTACAGGGGCTCGCCGAACCGGGTTGCCCGGCCTGACACGTTCTAGATAAATCATTCACATCATAGGTAGTTCACAGATGCCATGGTTGTCAAGCACCAGGAAGGATTGCTTGCAACAGTTGCAATACCTTCGTTGCACAACTGAGACGTGAGTCCGCCACTCTAAGTTGGACTCACCGTTTGGAAGATTAAAGATTGTCCCCTGGATTATGTCTACAAGGGGTCGATGGCAGTGAATGAACACATGGAGTCCTGTGATTGTAGGTCTCAGAAATGGGTCACAGGTTAGGTTGTAACTAATGTAGGCAATTAGCCGCTGTTTACACATGAGCATTGAAGGAATGACAGGAGTGATGCCTTGCTGGAAACTGACAACAAGAGAATTATATTATTCACACAGACAATGAGTAGATATCGGTTTATTGTCGTTATGCGTCCTGAAACGTTCATTTCAAAAACTCTGAAAAACAGTAGTACCTAGTCCAATCGGACTATCACATTTTACATTAAATACGATTATTGTGAAATCTGGCAATGAGAATTTGCTCTGCAGTCAGTATGTGGATGTCCACTTGACACAGGAACGACATTGACGTCTCCTCACGCTGATGTTCAGATGTCTGATGTTACAACATTGACGTCTTCGGCCATTCCTGGTGCAGTGCCGGGATCGGTTCACTCACGCTGTAACCCGAGTCTCTGTCACTTGACTCCAGGACATTTAAACAACATGCGGTGTTCTATCATTTGTAGATTCAGAACTCGATTTTCAACAATGCGTTGTTAAATGAATGTCCATGTCTGTATGAGCTGGCCTGACATGATACAACGTGTAAAGGTAGAATAATGTATTCGGTACAATACAAAACAACGCACTGATTGATCAATTACGAGGCGGTAATCAACATTTAAAACTCAAGCAGAGTTGACAGAGACAAGGATAATTAATATTTTGTCAGGCTGTATTTTAAAATTCTATGATTCTCACTCACTCACTCGAGGTCTCAGTCTGAGGTCACCCTAAAAATACTTCTGTCTAAATTCAGATTAGAAAACCCTTTGCTGTTAGGAGTTGAAAGCATTGATCTATTTGTGTGTGGACTTTGCTACTGTCTGCTGTCTCTGTAGGTCTGTACATACCGTTATACCGGCATACCGCCATACAGGTCAGTGGCATCGGCATGTGGACAGGTATGCGTCCACTGATAACCCAAGACATAAGTTATGGAATACTGTAGAGGTGCCCAACACAGGGAGATAGCACACTGAACCCGTGGCTGACACACACAAGCTATGGAATACTGTAGAGGTGCCCAACACAGGGAGATAGCACACTGAACCCGTGGCTGATTCACTCGAGCAAGTGATCACAGACCCACTGAAAACTCTCATCACTAGCGTAATCTATGGTCATTAATCGAAAGTAAAACAATGTGGTTTCTCACAACATATGTTTTTAATAAGTAACACCAGATGATGTATCTATACTAGCCAGATAAAAAAACTGTGCACACAGAAAATTCCTTCAGAATTGGAATACAACACAGAAAAGACGACATGATGTAGACACTTTATTAGCTGAAGTATCGGGCCTCAACAACATGTCAAAAGAACATGAACAATATCCGTAACAATGACGTCAGAAGTTCAAATTTGAGTCGGGGGTCACACGTCAAAGTCACAAAGTCAATAACGGGTATGACCATCATGCGCGTGAAGCACAGCAGTGCATCGACGACGCATAGAGGCTACCAAATTTTTCAAATGAAGGCCTGGGGAATGGTTTGGGACGTGGTCACTGCCGTCTGGAACCTGTGTCTGATATCAGTCACCCGAATCCATCTGTCCTGTCTTGGCGTCGTGAGTGAGTGGTCGGCGACGTCATTACTGTTTCCCTAACGCCTGACCAATGCAGATATCGTGTTACGATGACATTGGAAATGTGCTGCCACCTGTTGTTGGCTCATGCTGCTCGAACCATTCCAATGGCTTCATGACGTTGAGCACATGTTAATCTTGGCATGATGTGCATGTAACTGCTCATGTGAATTTGTGAACGTTTGAATGATCAAAGATCAAGCTTTCGACAGTGACAGCAATTTCTGTGTTTCACATGTTGTGTGCAGCTGCACAGGCTGCACGTGCAGTAACACATTGCAAGTCCATAGGCCACCATCAATGACGTCACGTCGTCTGGAACCGGCATGAGCGTTTGATTGTCTCCAATACTTGTTATGTTCACACCTTTTTTTATGCATAAAGATATATATTTTCTATTTTATATTTTCTGTGTGCACAGTTTCTTTATGTGGCCAGTATATATAGTATAAAGGAACTCTATCGTGTAAATTCGAAATCTGGCGTAGCCTACATATCGCACGCGGGATATTTTTAACTTTACTTAAAAATAGTTGAAGGACAAACGACCCCGGATAAGTGAGTGAGTCGTACATTGCACCCCATGCAGGGAGCCGAAGCCCGGCGTGACGACAGAACGCTGTTACCTCTAGACTGCCATACCTGGTGTATCAACGTACACTCTGATGTACACAGTTGTAACAGTGTCAGAACGCTGTCACCTCTACACTACCATACCTGGTGTATCAACGTACACTCTGATGTACACAGTTGTAACAGTGTCAGAACGCTGTCACCTCTAGACGCTGTCACCTCTAGACTACCATACCTGGTGTATCAACGTACACTCTGATGTACACAGTTGTAACAGTGTCAGAACGCTGTCACCTCTACACTACCATACCTGGTGTATCAACGTACACTCTGATGTACACAGTTGTAACAGTGTCAGAACGCTGTTACCTCTAGACTACCATACCTGGTGTATCAACGTACACTCTGATGTACACAGTTGTAACAGTGTCAGAACGCTGTCACCTCTAGACTACCATACCTGGTGTATCAACGTACACTCTGATGTACACAGTTGTAACAGTGTCAGAACGCTGTCACCTCTCTACACTACCATACCTGGTGTATCGTACACTCTGATGTACACAGTTGTAACAGTGTCAGAACGCTGTCACCTCTAGACTAGGTGTATCAACGACACTCTGATGTACACAGTTGTAACAGTGTCAGAACGCTGTCACCTCTAGACTACCATACCTGGTGTATCAACGTACACTCTGATGTACACAGTTGTAACAGTGTCAGAACGCTGTCACCTCTAGACTACCATACCTGGTGTATCAACGTACACTCTGATGTACACAGTTGTAACAGTGTCAGAACGCTGTCACCTCTAGACTACCATACCTGGTGTATCAACGTACACTCTGATGTACACAATTGTAACAGTGTCAGAACGCTGTCACCTCTAGACTACCATACCTGGTGTATCAACGTACACTCTGATGTACACAGTTGTGACAGTGTCAGAACGCTGTCACCTCTAGACAACCATACCTGGTGTATCAACTTACACTCTGATGTACACAGTTGTGACAATGTCAGAACGCTGTCACCTCTAGACTACCATACCTGGTGTATCAACGTACACTCTGATGTACACAGTTGTAACAGTGTCAGAACGCTGTCACCTCTAGACTACCATACCTGGTGTATCAACGTACACTCTGATGTACACAGTTGTGACAGTGTCAGAACGCTGTTACCTCTAGACTGCCATACCTGGTGTATCAACGTACACTCTGATGTACACAGTTGTAACAGTGTCAGAACGCTGTCACCTCTACACTACCATACCTGGTGTATCAACGTACACTCTGATGTACATAGTTGTGACAGTGTCAGAACGCTGTTACCTCTAGACTGTCATACCTGGTGTATCAACGTACACTCTGATGTACACAGTTGTAACAGTGTCAGAACGCTGTCACCTCTACACTACCATACCTGGTGTATCAACGTACACTCTGATGTACACAGTTGTAACAGTGTCAGAACGCTGTCACCTCTAGACTACCATACCTGGTGTATCAACGTACACTCTGATGTACACAGTTGTAACAGTGTCAGAACGCTGTCACCTCTAGACTACCATACCTGGTGTATCAACGTACACTCTGATGTACACAGTTGTAACAGTGTCAGAACGCTGTCACCTCTAGACTACCATACCTGGTGTATCAACGTACACTCTGATGTATACAGTTGAGACATTGTCAGAACGCTGTCACCTATAGACTACCATACCTGGTGTATCAAACTACACTCTGATGTACACGGTTGTGACAGTGTCAGGACGGGAAGCTAGTGTGAGGACAGAAAGACTAGTCTGAGAAACATGATATGAAAACATATAATTAGTGTGAAGATGGAGAGACCGTTGTGGTGAAGGGACCACGTTATGGTGGCGAGGCGGACTTTAAGATGGAAAGACCAGTGTTAGGAGCGAGAGACGTTTATGATCAAATATCGTTCTATATCCGTTTGTCACTATTTGATTGTAAGTCATGGGCGTATCTTCATGTTATGGTCAATATCTTTGTCGTGTTGATATGTGTTGGTGTTTTCAACAATTCGCTTGTAATGTCGGTATGTGTCGGGATGTCTGTCAGTGTGTTTGGAGTATAGGTACTATATGTCTGTCAGTGTGTCTGTAGTATTTGTGTATCTCAGTGGGCTAGCACTATAAAAAAACAGCTTAAGTCTGGGCTAGTACAAGCAGCCGCACATACACATACACACGCATGGACGTCGTTATATGAGCGAAATATTCTCAAGCACGACGTTAAACCCAAATTCGCCGCACCTCACCTCACCTCACACCGGACATATCCCTAGGACTAATCTCCTTGACCAACACTGGGACGTGAGAGTAATGAAACTAATCCCGGTTCTTGTATTCTTGGTATGAACAGTATCTTATAGATAGTCGCCGCCACACATACTGTCAGCCATCAGAGAAACCCTTGTATATTATGGCCACATATCTTTACAGCTAGATTTCACCCAAACAGGCGCATGAATAAGCACGTTCAGAACAC